TCTAATGCTTGCCGACTGAACCTGTTAGCTCTGCGGGCCAGGGTTCCCACTCCATGCAAAGGATCTCCTGGGTCCAGAATGATAGTGGTGAAGTTTGAAATGCATCGCATCTATCCGCGCCGCAGGTCACACCTCCGGGTTTTGCAACGGAAGCGGATCGTGTATTTATTGCTGGTGGTTGCGGTCCCAGGTACTAATGGCATATCAGGTTCGACTCTTCGGGGACGGAGCAACCCTAGAAGAACTTTCCCTTTTGACCGGTGGAAGAAGCCAGGAGCTGGAGCAGCAAAGCCTCTTTGCAACAAGATTCTGAACCCAGACATGAGGTTCTATTTCTGTGGGTGCCCGACATCGCGCGTCAGGACACCGGGATCCAGAGCTGTTGGGCTTCTGTACAGAACTACCGTGGAAGGTTTCTCTTGTCGTGGCCGTCGTCAAGTCATTCGTTCTGACGGTTCTCCGGGTCACACATCATCTGCCAAGCGCCCTACCTCCCTCTCCCTGGTCTCTCTGGGCCATGGACGGCTTTGATCGAGAAATCGCATCGCCTACTTGGGAATTACAACACCTCCCTCCTGGAGCTCGGCAAGACCCCGCAGCAAGCAGCTGAACAGCAGAGTGCACAAGCCGTTTGAACCTCGAACGTCTTCGATCCCAACACAAATAGAATCCGCGGCCCGGCCAAGAGCCGCAGTTTGAGAGTGATCGTCTTAACTAGAGCACTGCACCGGAAAATGGGACAGTTCGGACGACGCTGCAAGCAAACCGCTCCTGAAGTTGCTTGAGAACCCACGAGCTGCGGCTGTTCTGGTGCCAGGCGCGATGAGGGCTTGGCTCCAGATCGCCCGCAGTGCCTTGGCTAACGACAGCATGAGTTGCAAACCACAACCATCTATCCAACAAAGAAAAGGAAGAAACATAGGCACGTGTCTATACACCTGCACATGCATATACATAACACGCATTCATACATAATACACATGCTTACATGCATGCATGTATGCATGTATGTATGTGTGTATGTATGTGTATGTATACATGCAAACATGTAACATGTATTCATGTGCATATACACATACATGAGAAGATAAGATAATGTATACAATACGGCAGTAGTCACTATATACCATAATATGTACAGGTATGCATGCATATGTATATGCATACTTTTTGTATATGTACACTTATATGTATATGCTTATGAAAATGTGTACTGTCATGTGCATGTATGTATGTATGTATGTGCGTGCATTTATGGATATATTCGCGCATCTACGTATATACATGCATTGGCAGATTTACACACATACATAGATACACCCGCACATGGAAGCATGCATCGTAACTCATAGCTACACATACATGCATGTAGAATACAGTTCAGTATAATGCAATGTAGTATGATAAACGATAATACAGTAATTGCAATACACGATAATACAATATCGCATGCATTTTCAATGTGATATAACATGATACAATGTAACCGAGCAGAATCGAACATAGTATTGCTAACAGACTAGAATAGACTGTAATATGTCCAAAAGCACACTACGCCCGTCAGTGCTCATGATACAGCAGCGAGTGTCACCACCAATACCTCCAAAGCTTTTTGAAGCAAGATGCATCAGGACATACACTATGCCAATTTCAAAATGCACAAACAGACTCGGAGACACACTGACAGATAGCCAGGCAGGCAGGCAGGCAAGCAGGCAGGCAGAGAGACCGGCAGAGACAATGCTCCCAAAGGACCTTTGGTAACCTCGGCAACCGCTGATTTCCTAGTGGAAACCTGAACTCCTCCCCTCGACCCCCCATTACCGGGCCCCAGGTGCGAGTGGGATCCAGGCGATCACAACGGCATCTCAGATGTCCGGGATCCCGGAATGGGATGCCTCAGGCTTTTTCGCTGAGCGTGTGCGGGAGAATTCCAGTGAGGAAGACGAGGTAAGTGTTTTTATCAAGTGCACGGTTTGCATTGTAGACACCCAAAAGCTCAAGGCGACAGATGCCTAAGGGACTACCCACCTGCAGGCAGATGTCCCACTCTGGCTGCATTACTAGGGCTCAGTTGTCTGCGCATCATCTTCAGCATTAAGTGTTGTGGCTGCATGCTCATCATAGGATTTGTGTCTAGCCAGTCCTGCGACCTGACCTGAACACCCTCCCAATAATCAAGCTTTTCTTCAGGAGAATGTAGCTAGCAGAGTCAGCAGATTGCAGAAGTTTTCACCCGCACCCCTTCTGAACCCGGCCTCTGCAAGGACCAGGCCGTGGCGGGAGCAGACGCCCCAAGGCAGCCTGGTAGCCTGAAGCAGATCATCCAAAGTGCGGGCTGACTTGAAACACGGCGCGGGGGGGGGTGGGGGACAGCTTGGGTACGCGCAGCCATCCCCCATCAAACAAGCAAATTGTCAGGCGGCATGGTGACGTGGCTTCTGAGCGGAGCTGGCTGGCGCGGGCACCCGGAAAGGGGTCCGACTGATTTCGGAGACTAGTGACTAGATCCATAAAACAAGAACGGTGCTCTAGATTTCTTGTGAGATCTCCGACTGAAGGAAGTGCTCCTAACATGGGGTGCCCTTGTGGAGCGGAGCAGTGGTTGTTCGTTGCTCCTGGCATCCATGATTAACCCGGCTGCAGTCGTTTTCCTACGCAGAAGTTTCCCTGCTTTTCTCACGCTGCGCCTGAGATAGCGGTAAATACTTACATTGCTTTCAGACCGGTTCCTTGTTAAGAGCTTGGGGCCTTCCGACTTGTTTATGCATCTGGGTCCTCAGCCTAGTAGTAGACAGCGTTGCCCGGATTCCAACACTGGGACTGCCCCGGAGTCCAAGACAAAGTTGTCATTTTCAAGCCGCAGCTGTCTTTCGGCAGCAGGTGGGGACACCGGTGGAGCACTGGAAGGAGGCCCAGGCCGGATCTTGCTTTTGCAGTGCCCAAGAAGGGAACTTGCATGCGCCCCCCCCACACCTCATCGTGGACACAAACTGCTGGTGTACTCAGGATTTTCGAGAAGAGGAAATCCTGGAGCAGTGAGGCCAAGCTTGAGCGAAAACATCCCATCACAGCCCCTCCAAACGTCCCGAAGCCCATCTCTAACAGCTCCATTCACATGACAAGTCACTGTTACATGCACGATCTGGAAGCGCAGGAGCTAGGCTTTGTTATGCGAGGGCGTGATTATTTTAGTTTTAGTAATGCCCTGCACTGCAAATTCAGCGGCTGCAGCTGCGAGAAACTATCGCAACTGAAATCAGCCAACTGCGTAGACGCATCGATGAGCATGAAAAAGGAGCTGCCATCTGGGTCTCGGTGAGGGCTTTGACCTGCCTGGTGCCCAAGCCGACATTCCTGAAACCTCTCCTGTGTCCGATTTTGCTTGAATTTAGTGCTAGGTATGGCAAGTAGCAAGGTAGGTAGGTCAGGTAGGTAGCGGCGAGGTCGGTTATAGGTCGACCACTTTCGCCGAACCGCAGACGCACCGACCTTTGGCTCACATCACTACTTGCACATTGGGTCTAGGGCCCGGCCAAGCAAAGGGAATGTAAGACGAGGAGAGTCCGAGGAAGTGGATCGAGCTACTCTTCATGGCAAAGTTCGGAAGCCTCGAATTGGAATGCCTGATGCCTGCCATCGCCTTGTCTGGATGCAGAGGCATCACCACTGTGGAAACCTGGAGGCCAGGAAGGGCAGCCCATGGTGCAAGCATTATGCTCTGCCCCAGGCTGCCACTGCTGTCAACTCACGACTCCCAAGCTCTCCAGTGACACCGTGTGCTGCATCGCTGGCACAGAACTGCTAGCTGTCTTTGCCTGCTCCGAAAAAAAGCGGCTGCCTTTCGTACCCCCGACCCTCCACCGCGGTCCTACCCTGGTTCTACAGACTGCCGTCACTGCCGTCTGCTTTCGTCTTCTCTGCATTTCTATGCTCCCCGTAAACTCCGCAAGGCAACACTTTTTTAAGATTTTTTTTGTGAGTCTGCTTAGCCGAGGCCGCCGGCACGAAGTCACGAAGTGTCAACAATTAGTGCTGGGTCAAATGGGGATAGACACTGAGACTGCGATAGCGACATCCGATAGCGGTGGCGGCAGCACTACTGAGAGCAGTAAAAATAGCGACAAGATAGCGATAGCGGTAGACATCTGCATCTTTTTATGATATGGATATGATTATGGGTAGAACCGTAGACACACAAACTTGCAATTTGATCACATGTTTGGCCAGGTTGCGCAGTTGCTGCGGAAGTTACACGGCTGGCGCTGGCCTTGAACGTGACGTCCGCGACATCTTCTGACTCAGCCGTGGCGACGAAAAGAAAGCATGCAGACGTCCGCGATGCATTTCAAGTATTGTCAAGGAACCATTGTAGTGCATGCCAAACGTGAAGGGCGCAATTCTCAAGGCGCGCAAAACCAGTTCCATTCGACATGACATATTGTCGACGAAGAGTTTGTGGTGTCGTTCTTCGGATGCAGTCAAAGTCGTCGAGCATGGGTTGACGCTTGGTCCCGACTTTCCGCGTCGGGTTGGATGCAAGACCTTCTGTCCTATCGCTTTTGCATGCACAGCGACTTGTACCAAATTCCTTGGAAACCGATATTGTGCAACATGACACACATTTGCCTTGAGACGTTCGTAGATGGTCCATGAGTGCAGGCAAAGTTGCAAGGGAAACCTAGACCCTGCATGAGTATGTTTCGCATGAAGTAAGATTGCCCAGCAACAGTCGGCGATGCGACACAGTTGTCATGAGCATCGCGCACACCCATCTCTATCGGATCCAAGCGGCTTTGTTTGGCTTGTCATTTTGGCATTTAGATTCTTTCCCACGTGGCAACCACCTGGGCCCCCGCTGTTATTGACGCATCTATATCAAAGCGGTAGGGGTGCGCAGCAATATTGTCGCGGATTTCATTCAACCTAGACGTACTTTGGCGGCCCGGACACGAGCAAGCTTGTCAGAACTTTGCAACGCATCCGAGCCGCCTGTGGCCATGGTCGATGGGTCACAGGAGGCGGGCCTCATGGCCAAACTTTGGTATGGCTCGCGCACATACCGGTCTGTTTCTGTGTGCCAAAATGTTGAGCTCAACATGGCTGCGCGGAAGCATGGCAAAGCCACTTTGCGATTGCCATGCTCCAGTGCTGATCAACCAAATCCATCCACCTTGTCGGGCAGGTCCTTCTGGAAGAGGCTCTGCTTCAGCTCGGGGGTCATGGGTAGAAAAGAGTTTTGTTGCATGAGTGTGGAATCATGGGGTTTTGGGGTTGACGTCAAAGCAAGCATAAGTATGCGTAGTTCTTCGTGCGCTGAGTGACCAGCTATCACAGCTCGTGCCCCCGAACGGGTGATTAGCCCCAAGCCGCAGACTTTAATGTACCTTAACCCCGGCAGTTCTTCGAACCAGATGCCTGGATTCTCCGACCGCCAAGTTTCCAAAGCCCTTAAGTGTACATGCAGTCTGCGCCCGCAAGGTGGAGCGCCTGGCTGCAAACCAGCATGCCCGTCTGGAGGCCGAGTTTAGGGTTCGGAGTTTGTCCGGAGGTTTCGGAGGACTTTTCATGGTTTGGCCTGCTGGCTTTTTTGAAGGTCTGCTTGTTTCTGATATTGAAAGGTTTGCGAGGACTATGGTTCTGAAGACGGAGTGATACAGGAAGAAAGCCAGAGATAGAGAGAGAGGCATAGGGAGAGAGAGAGAGAGAGGACTGCTCACGCTCCTAGCCCCTAGCAAAGCAAAGAGAAAAAACACAGGGGTTGTAGGGGTTACACCCTACCGCCCCAAATGCTATGCAAGCAAGCAAGAGAGAAAGACACGAAGAGCTTTTTTGTGCCTAGTTCGTGTCGCACTGACAAGCCTTGAGTCCTCAAGCGCCCTATGGCTTTACACCAGCATGCCTCGATGCTGCCGTAGGAGCTGCAGCAGAGCTCCGGCGTCGTGGAGGCCATTTTGGGACTGTCACAGAGGCCTATTTCAGAATTTCACCATACGGATACCCCCAGGCTTAGCAACAGAAACTGTGCACGCAACGCGATCCATGCTGATCCGACGAGGCGGCGCTACGCTCGCTTCGCCACGGCGACCCACGCCTGGCGCGGCAGGTGCCGATATGGGCCGAGGGCATCGGGCTTCTTGGGTTCATGTTGGTCAGATTCGGTACGACGACTTTCAATCTCGGGCTGATGTCTTCACATTCGAATACTTGGGTATTCGCGGTGTAGCGATTAGGTTTCAATGACTTCCTTTGCAGTGGGGATTTGTGAGGGGAGCAGCTCTTGGACAGAAAGCTTGTGAGACCATGTCTTCCCGATCGGGTTGTATTGTAATGAAACGCCGAGTACCCGCTGCAGCTTGCCTGGTGCTAGAGTCAGCCTCTGAAGCGAGTCGTAGCTGACATGCGGCACGGCCTGGACTGGTGGACCAGTGTGCCACGACACCAAGGCTCCACGAATAGGCAGCGCACTAGTCCAGCAGCCGGCCCGAAGCGGCGGATCCACAGCCTGGGCTACAGCCCGCCCCAAAGGTGCTGAAGAGCCAAATGTGCAGTGATACGGCGCGGTCCGGCAACCAAGAGCAGGAGTCTGTTAAGGCATCTCTCAAAGTTTCGGAAGTTTGCAGTCATAGCTGCAGCCTGTAGAGCATGCAGCAGACGACACACCTCGCCAATTCTTCCGCAGAACAGGCCATGTCCGGCACGCTTCCTGCACACGGTTGCTCGGGGGCTTTCGAGTTTCTGCGGCTGTTAAAGCCAGCCAAGACCACGCTCAGGTCTGGGCGCTCTGAGCCGGACGAGGCAGGGCCCTGCCTTCGCCATGCGCCTGCGGGATCCTATGGCCGCCCTTCCAGGCCGTGTCCAGCCGCGGCAGAGCCGTGTGCTCAGACATTGATTAGGACCTGGCTCCCAATGTGGGCACTGTTGCGAGGATTCCAGAACAGCAGAGGCTAGGCAAGCGAGTCCTAGCGTGACGTCGCTTCGCGACGGCTTTCGTATCCCGCAGCTTTTCTATGCTCTGGCCGCTGCACCGTGGGTGATGTCAGAGTCACCCCCGGCTGTGCGCCAGGCTGCCGAGGCGCCACGGGGGAGGAGTGTCATTTGAGCTGGAATACGGGTCTACTTGTACCTTCTTGAGTCCTAGAAGTTGTCACAAAATGTGCCGTCCGATATGATCTGGTCTGAAGTCTCGTATCAGCTCCATCTCGGAGGAATGAAGCTTCTGGTCCTGGCCTTGGCACTGCAAAGCTGCGAGCCTTGGGCTGCAAAGGCGCACGGGATCCGGCTGCAAAGTTTCTGGGCTATGACTGCAGGAATTCTTGAAGATTTCCCATGCACACATACCATTCTTGTAGATTGTTTGTTCTCGTCCGTTCCCGACGACAGGTACCTACGGAAGGACGGCCTGAACTCCTCGAAGTGCGTGGGAGCGCCGCAGGCCAAAATTTGCACACACCGCACGGTGTACTGAGCCCCGAAACACGGTCAAAGCCCGATCCCTCTACCCTGAAGCATCGACATGCCCCTGACACCCCTGACAGGCTACATGCGAGGATGCCCCAACTTAACCCACATGGTCGACAGGGAAAGCCAAACCAGCTCACCATAGTTCTCACTGGGAGGTCTCCGGCTGCGGGGGCAGAAACTGCAGGCACAGCAACCAGGGTCTTTATGAAGGGTCGGGATGAGGTTAGACAACGGGTGCAGCATGTGTGCAAGTCGCGCGGGTGTTTGTACCCAAGCAGAATGTAGATAAAACAATCAAATATGCATGCATATATACAGATAGAGTAGTAAATATCATTTTGCATAATTATAGAATTACATTACTAATCATATATCTATATGTATATTTATACATATACATGTATATACACACATACACATATCATGGACATACATACATGCAGGGCAGGCATGGAGTGCTTGCCTTGTCAGAAAGTCCCGCTAGGCTTCGGGTAGCGGTTGGGCAGAACAGCTGCAATTTCTGGAAGCTATGGAGTCAACATTTACCTTCCAGGGTCGGAGCACGGTTTCTGGCAGGAATTTCTTTCGCTTTCCCCCCCTCTCTCTCTCTCTCTCTCTCTCTCTCTCTCTCTCTCTCTCTCTCTCTCTCTCTCTGTCTTTTCATTTCGTGTTGCACAGGACCGCGCAGATCCAACCCTTGCAACGCTGCTCGGACTGCAAAGGCGGATCCCAAATCTTATATTGCCGAAACCTGGCGTTTGGACTTGGCACCTTAAAGAACCCAGCGACGAAATGCCCAATGCCGCTGCGTGTCAGAAGCACGAGAGGCGGACGTGAGAGCTTAAGCTGAAGTGAAAGTAGAGCGTCAAATAGCACATTCCACCTACTTGAGCTTTAGGGTCTTGTCCCCTTGCTGCTGCTATTCTCTGGCAATCGTTGTCGTTTACGAACGGCGGCCGGCCTTGATTCTGAATTGCACCTTTGAAAAAATTTTGACAATACTCGCCTCTCACCGCTTCAACTGCTGCAAACCGACAGAAACTGAAGGATCTTCCAAGCTTCGGCTTGGATGCAGGAGATGAACTGTAGGCACTCCAGGAATGGATTTGGGTGTCCGAGAGCTGCTTCGATATAGGAGATGCAACAAGAAGTATTTGTGATTTTGCAAACCAAAAGCATTGGGTTGCCTGATAAGTTCACAGAAACGGTGTGAACACCTCCTTCAAATTGGGGCTCAATGTGTCCTGCAAGGCCAAGGTCCAGGGCTCGGTATGGGACCCACTCTGGACAAGAATCCCAAAGCCCTAGGCCATCCTAAGCCGAGGGCCAAGGCCTACTTCCACTGCCTTTCTGTGACCGGATCTCAGGTTCGACTCGGAGCTCTATCCTGTTGCACCAGAGGATCAGTTGCGCCAAGGCCGTTGAAAGGGTCTACACTTCTTCAGTTGCCGGATTACGGGTCGGGTGCAGAGCATCATCTGCATGGGGCATTTTCTTCGTTACGCTCGCGTACTCTCTGTCGACTCTTGCGTCGCGATGTAGTTTTCGTCTCACGGCTCCCGTCCAGTCCCAGGCTACCAGGCCCCCAAGCCCAAGCTGTGCCGCGTCAGGTGTTGAGGCCGCCATTGCCCGGACGCCACCGGGGAGCTCCGCTCCAGTTTACACACCCAAGGCCCTTGCTTCTTGCCTCTTTAACAGGGTAGGGAGTTATGCTGTCGTGGGACTGCACGACCTCCAAACTGTGAGTACACCGTGCAGTTGAAGTGGCTGTCATCGTTTTGCTCCTTGGCCCTCTGCTGGCTACTGTGGACATCGTGGTCGACGGATTGTCGATCGTTCTGTTCACATCCTTTGTCCAGAAAGACCCGCATATGAAGCTTGGACCTTGGAGACCCGCAGAACTCGAAGCCGAAATCCGGATCTGAAGGAGGCGCAGACTCCGAACGCCTTCCCTGGAAGCTCAGAGGCTCTCCGTGACACTGGGCTTTGGTCTTGATGCCAGAACAGCCACAGCCAGTGACCACATAGGCTTGCAAGCGCAGGGTGCCACGGTCACGGTTGTCTCTTGGGTCTCCGAGGTTTAAGGCCCAGGCGAGACGGGACATGGCACGCCGAAACTCTGAGTCTCTGAGATCGTCGGATGGCGGTACTAGTGTCAGGTCTCAGCCTTTGCTTTGGTGGTGTTTTTTTCGATGGGCACGTGGTGAATTGAGAAACCAGTCATCATGTATGTTGGCCGTCGGCACAAGTTAAATTGTGACTGTCACGGGTGCAAGTAGGTTGTCGGAGAGGAGCTCGCAGTTTTCACCAGGCAGCCATCCGACCTCTTCGGGGCCAGCAGCTGGAATGTCACGACTCTCCAGCGACGTGGAAGGACAGCCGACCTGCACATCATGCGTCCGTTTATACTTCGATTCCCCGGTTGCCAGTTTAACTGAGACGCGTCAGCCTCGAGACCTGCTCGGACCTCCAAAACCGGATCTCACTGGCATCAGGTTTGAGGGCTGCCATCCCAGCCCCAAGCTGAGCCTGCAAAGAGGCATCCCGAAGCCTCGGCAGTTGCTCTGCCGACCGCGTGCAACAGCCGCAGGATGCCAACAACAACAGCTGCTACCACTACGAGACAGGCGCGGAAGGGCGCTCGCCTGGGATTCCGGAGCCTCGAACCAGGCGAAGCCGAGAAAGCACTCGGTGCGTGCTGGCTTTGCTTTGACACTTTGGCACAGTCCACCCCCTTGTGCCGACAACGATCCCTCTGCTGAGTGAGAGCTTAGCCCATCACCGTCGTCGCTATCGTCATCCCCTCTATCCAGTCATCGTCACCGTCATCACAATGACGGCCATCGCCATCTTGGTAGAAGAAGTGTGATTGCATTGCTAAGTGTCCCGATTACGCGCACACACGTGCACGTCGATGCTAGGACTATCAGATATCCGAAGATGGAACTCCATCAGCCGACCCTTTGGGGCTAAAAGATGAGTCTGGAAATCTACTGCCAGGGCGCTGGTGCAACTCGCAGGGCGCTGCAGGTTCTGGATGGAAAGCGTTCTGGTCGCAATGATTTTGGATCAAAGCCCATTGCTCGTAGGCTCATGTTTAGATGGGATAAGAAGCGAACACAATTTTGTGCCTCTTAATTAACGCGGAGTATGCAGTCGACTACGTTTGTGCAGGGTTTTGGGTACAATTTCAGAGCAGTGAGCAGTGGTGGCTCTGCAACACAGAGAGATGAGGTGGTAGTTTCTCAGTTTTGCATGCAAAGCTTTCTTTGGTGCGCCTGAACTTGACCTTGCCTCTCCATGCCCCTTCTCCCCCCCCCCTAAACGCACACCTGGTAGACCCCGGAGTCATGCACTGCTGCAGGACACCTGGGGCACCTTTGCGGCTGCTCGGCAGCGACAGTTCCGCACGTTTTTGGGTGCTGGGACGAGAGCATCGTGCACGGCCGAGACGACTGAGTTGAGCGTTGATGTTGCAGGCTGGAAATGCGTCGCAGGTAGAGCACCGAAGCAAGGAGTGTCAGTGGGGCAGTTCAGGCGTGTGAAAGCTGGAACCCGCCCAAGGAATGGTCCACAGCCATGGCAGGCAACGGTCCTGTGACGGCCTGTTGTGACTCGGCAAGCTACCAGCGCATCGAACTCGGGTAAGAAATCCTCTTGAGGAGCTCAGCACAATCGCAGCAGACCTACGGGTCGCATCGTGCTGGAGCGTATGTAGTCTGAAGCATGTCGTGCAATGTTCCTGCGATCCATTTCTGCTGCGCAGCGCAACAGCTGCAAGCATGCTTGGGTGTTGCATCTCGCGAAGTCTTGCACGTTGGCGTGCATCCGGAGCAACTCTTCCACTCATTGGCTCGAGGCGCCTGTGGTGGTGGCATCAAGTTCGTTGCCTCTGTGGTCGCGCTGCTGCATTTTGAAGCATACTGTGAATGGGGATGCAGGTGCGGACTGTGAACGGGTCGGGATCGGAGCTCGCTCTGCTCTTGACCGATAGCTAGCAAATGGACTCGGTGGATCAGCATCCACAGAAGTGTAACGAGTACTGAGTACTGCTCGAAACCGTTGCACTCCCGACCCAAGGCACCACCCACCACCCAGGCAAGCAGCAAACCACGCACGGACAGACACACAACATGCAAGCAGCTGCAAGCAGGACCAGCGAGGAACCCGCAGGCACCGGAGCTTCGGTGGGGGCAAGCCGAGGAAAGTCAGCGACCCCTGGCCTCGAGGCGGCTCGTGGCTCCGGAGGTCGGAAGTCTGGGGCGGGGTCTCTCTGCGATCGGGGTTTAGCACTTCAGGATTAGAGTAGCGGTTTTCGATTTCCGGGGCGGAGGGATTCTGCCAGTCCTAGATCAGTCTTACTAGTCAATTGAATCCATGTTAATGTCGTACAGTTGTGACGATCCACGTCCCTCCTGCGACATGCTGTCGTCCAGCAGTAGCCGTGGTACAAGTTGTTGTTAGTCCCGTCTCAGTGCACTAGCATTGTGGTTGCTAGTCACTTGCTGTTAGTACGTTCGGTGTTCGTTTCTAGATGTGTTACTGGGGGGTGCGCATATGCATGCATGGATGTATGTATGTATTCGCGGCTTTTAAGAAGGTTTGCTGAGTTTCGGGGTGTCATTTCGGTGACATGCATCCCAGAGACGTCGGTGCATCACCGCCCATGCATCGCGAGACGGCTCTTGCGGCGTGCGAAGAAAGTATGTGTGTATGATTATGTATGTGTGTATGTATGTATGTATGTACACACATTACATCTGGACAAAAGTGATATCGTTTTATCTGGGTCGTCTGCTGTTTCCGCTTGGCGCTCGAACTCTTGCCGGTTTTCCATCGACTGTTTACATTCAGTATTGCGGTGCAGTCGCAGTAGCAGTAGCAGCAGCAGGAGCAGCAGCAGTAGCAGTGGCAGTAGCAGTACGTAGCAATAGCAGTAGCAGTAACAGTACGTGGCAGTGGCAGTAGCAGGAGCAGGAGCAGGAGCCGGAGCAGTAGCAGGAGCAGTAGCAGGAGCAGTAGCAGTAGCAGTAGTATCTCAGTAGTAGTCGTCGTGGTAGTGGTAGTGGTAGCGGTAGCGGTAGCGGTCGCCTTAGCGGTAGCTGTAGCCATGGCGGTGGTGGTGGTGGTGGTGGTGGTGGTGGTGGTGGTGGTGGTGGTGGTGGTGGTGGAAGTAGTAGTAGTAGTAGCAGTAGTAGTAGTAGTAGTAGTAGTAGTAGGAGTAGTAGCAGTAGTAGTAGCAGTAGTAGTAGTAGTAGCCGTAGTAGTCGTGGTAGTAGTGGTAGTAGTGATAGTAGTGGTAGCAGTGGTAGTAGTGGTAGTAGTGGTAGCAGTGGTAGTAGTAGTGGTAACGGTAGTAATAGTGGCACCGGGACTTGTGCTTACTTGTTTCTCAGTCTGATCGGGCATGCGTTCGGAGTAAATCTTATCTGTTTACCCCGTCGTCAACTTTCCACAGGGCGGCTCCCATGCATCAGATATCAGGCTTACACGTTCATGCTCATTCCCTCACTCAATTACTCGCACACTCAATTACTCAGTCATCAAGCAGGCAGACAGGGAGGCCACTCATTCACTTGCTGAGTCACTCGCTCTCTCCCCCGCTCGCTCACTAGCTCAATCATTCACTTCGTCACTATGCTTACTCAGCGGTCATTCATTCACTCAGTCAGTTAGCCAGCCAGACAGTCAGTCGGTCCGTCCGTCATTGATAGGTCGTCATGGCATCCTTTTGCCGAGTCATACCGGTAAAAAACACTGCGCTGCAACGTTCGCTGCTCCTTCGGCCCTTCTCTTCATGTAGCATTGCCGTTTTGTATGGCATCTTTCTTACTACTTGTAGTTCGATGATGTTCGATGTTTTGCTTGAGTGCGCCCGTGACTCGTATTCTCCAGAGTGTCCTGTGTTGAGATTAAGGTTGCAGGCGAAGGGGTCCCAGGGGCCATTTGGGGTGTGCAGAATGAAGTGTACGGGATGAACACGCTTCGGCTTGGGGCAGGCTTTCGGCCTGAAGGGACCGGTGACCTCAGGCTGACCACAGGTCCCATAGCTAATCCCACAGCAGCACTTCGTGAGGACCGTTTGGATCTGGACTCCCTGGTGGCGCCCACTGAGACTTTGCCACAGGAGAGCATTCTGACGTTTGGCCCCTCATGATTGACTGAACACCCAGTTCATGTTTCAATGCCCTCCGGTGCATGCCAGAGGCAGTTTGTACAGACTTCTGTGTAATGACCCTAAGACGGCTTCAACGTATCTGAAAGTGTTGTGCGTGGATCTTCGGTGGCCTCGGCGACATGCGGTAAGTGGATTTCAGCTTCTCCCATCAGTAGAGCTGGCTTTTCTACAGGAGTTCCTCGATGCATCCCCGGTGATGGCGCCAATGGACCGCATCCCTTCGAAGTTTGCGCACATCTTGGGCGCTGCAGTGGAGCAGAGGCCCAGTTCTTCGGATACTTTATGTATCTTGATTTGTCATTGAGATCCTGAAGAACGTACCAGTGATGGTCGGCCAGGATTGCGACAGGATATAGATTGTTTTTGGAATATTCGGTGGCGACTTCATAAATTTCTGCCACGGGCCCGTGAACACTGGCTTTCCTGAGGTTCGACGCCTGCTTTCCTCAGAAGCCTCCGGATCAAACCCGATGCAAACGACACGAAGCAGGCTTCAAACGAGGGAAATTTGCTGAGTGTCATGGACCCACGGAGGCCTCGAATCTTGGGAGTTCTGTTTTGCTTCGCCAGGGAGCGGCCGGATGTGCTGGGTGACTTGGATGAGCTCTGAGACTCTGAGCATGCGCTGCCCGAGCCACGCAGCCGTTTTGCAGAGCTTCCTCAAACAGGCTTCATCAGGGGTTCAGGGCACTGTCAGTCGAGCAGACTGGCCCTGGATTTTCTGTGTATTTTTATGCACATTGAAAGTAGCCGTATATATTCGACCACAATCTTCTGAGGTCTCTCGGCACAATTCTTCGCTTCTCCACCTGGCGATGGCTGCTCAGGTAGCTGAAAGCTGTGTGGTCTCGATCGGATCTAGTTTGGTTGAGCGGCCACGGGTACATATTCCGTAGGCTCTCGGCAACTTCGCGGATGTGGGTTCGGAGTGTCCAGGTTCCGAGCAACACCTGCAACACACTGCAACCGTGAGCAGAGGGCCCGGCTTGCCGAAAGCACCAGAACAGGTCAGAGGCCAATGGCTTTCAGGTCTTTGAGCTTCGGGCGGCGCTTGCCCTCAGCCAGGAGGCGTAGCTTCTGCTTCTGTGCTGTGATTGCAGGTCCGCTCCCTGTAGCATCGGCGATCGACCGAGCCCTCGACTATCGTCCGGACCTGAGGCGGAACAGAGGAATTAATGAATTAGATTCTGGCAGTCGCTCTGCCAGAAAGCCAGCCGAGGCTTGTGCAGGATGGATCTGTCTGCGCACATCGGTCCGAAGCATGGCTAAGGTATGGGCTTCACAGGAGGCTTCCAGCGCTATCTCCAGGACTCCTCTTTGGCTTGCACGGTTGCTTGAACCGTCGAGCATGAGTGACTTTTCCTAGAGGCTTTGTTGGCACGGTGCACAGAGTCGTCTCAACATTTTGCGAAGAGGACAACCATAATCCCTACAAGACCCGTCCACAACATCCCGGGGGGTGCAGACTGGATCGGAGACTCCGATCCTCTCTTTCTGCCATCATGCCGGTCAGGACCGAGCCCAGCATGCCACCGCCGGTGGTCTCCCGGCTTTTGCGAAGGGTGTCGCTTTTGGATGGCCGAAGTTCTTCCGAGGACGCGATGCCCTAGGCCCTAGAAGCCAGCGGCCCGCCCCAGAGGAGCTCTGTTGTCAGCCCTTGGCCTCGAGGCTTCTTCTATGGGAAATGGTCTGGAACCGTGAACATCCTTCAGGTGGGCACGGGGCTGTGGCCCGGTGGCAGAGGGGAGCCGAGCCCAGCTGGTTTTTCGCCACAGGCCGGCACGTATGTCTTTGACCTGGCGCTGGGTTTCGACACGACGAGCTCCATTAAGATCGACGGCAAGGAGTCTTTCTAGGGCCCCGAAGCCCTCCTTGCAAACGAGAGCAAGGAAAGGGAGTAGAGTTTTCCGAGAGGACAGTACGTAGGCTTTGACGAGATTTTCGGAGCCGAAGAATTCGTTTTCATTCAATGAAATGTCCTGCTCTTTTTCGCTTGAGGCCGTTTGTGTCTAGCGAGTTGGTTCAGACGGGAATGTAGGGGCTGCGTCACACCTCATCGCAACCGCATGATACGATATCTGGTTAGCAGACCCGTGGTTGCCTGAAGCAAGGGCCCCGAATCGCAAAGACCTCCGCGACAGCTTGCCTCCTGCACAGGAGTTCCTGACCATGGGGCAATGCTTATCTGCGAAGGACCGGGAAACACGGTTTGTTCTCAACAAGCCTCGTGGCCTTGTCTGACTTGGGAGGATGAGTTTGCTTGCTCGATGAAGCGCTGCGTTTGGGAGGCGGCGCTTTTGCGGACACTGAGTTTCGTCATCAGCGAACACACGAGCTTTAGCTTCGTCTTTGGTTCTTTTGGGGAATTCGAGTCCTCACTACGACACTGTCCCGGTTCGACGGGGCTTGCGCCAAGATTACTGGCAGCTGCACGACGACCGATTGAAGCATCGTGCACTTCGTGCAGTATAAACCCTTACAGAAGCTACTAGAGGGCGGCTACGAGGGTAGTTTGCGCAGCAGGGAAGGGGCCCAAGCCTTGCAAGCCCAGATTTTCCAAGCTGAAGAAGACGCACTTTCGCAAAATGCCCTGTGCCAGCAGGGCAGTCGTTGTGTTGCGCCTTCTGCGGTATCGGGTGCCCTGGCCTTCTGTTCAGACTTCCTGCAAGCGTTGCTTGGATTCTCGTCAAGCCATGATCTGCCAGCCAAAGACATGAAAAGCTTGAAGAGCTCGGAGCACGAAAGCTCAGGATCCGACTCCTCCCAAGCCCCAAGCCTCCGGACTCTTTGGATGCCGATTCCAAACACGACCTCAGCCTGAACCTCGAATCACAAGCCCCAAGTCAATCGAGAAGTGCCTGCATGCACCCACTTCTTGAATGCCCCGACTGGGACTGTACAGCAGTACAGACCCGTCTTCACGGTCTGTCTGGCACTACCGTCCCCAAAACCCACAAAAAAGCCATCTGACGCCTTGCAAAGCTCGAAGAAACTCCCCTTCTCAGGTGCCGCGCCGTCACCCGCCCCAATGCAAGCCCCTGCGCCAGCGCCGGCACCCTCCCTGGCACAGCGCCTTGAGTGGCCGAGGTGATGAGGGAGGAATTTGGGGTCTCCGTCCTGTGTGAAAGAAGTCTTCAATTGAATTAGGCACCGTGATGCCGTGTCATTGAGATTTTTCATGCTGAGGTTCTCTGGTCATGTTGTTGATGCTTGTTCAGTGTCTATGCAAGAAGTTGTGCCGGATGACGCGACAAGCATGCCGATTCCCAATGCACACGGTCTTGGGGTCAAATGTGCAGAGCTTGGGATCGTCATGGTGCAGCACCTGGTTTTCAAAGGTTAGGTCTTGTTGGCGAGCTGTTGTGTGTTCGAAGGTCATGAGTCATAAATAACAATGCATAGAAGGTGCTGTGTGCGGCGTAGATAAGAGCGACGCCAGCACATCGGGCTTTCGTTGCGGGCCTTTCGGCGCTTCAACGTTTAGGTCTCTGGCAATATTATGTATTTCATGTTGATTGGGCCTCCAGATCTTCAGCTAAACGGTCGCGAGTGATGGTTTGAAGGAGTTACGTTTTCGGCAAGCTACGTAAAGCCCAAGTCGTTCCCACTGCTGCTTTTCCATGCCACATACGTGCAGCCACAATGGGGGAGTTGGGGGTCACGAGACTCGTTACAGCAGAGCTCTGCTTGGCAAGCTCTGATCACTTCTAAGCTTCAAGATCTGGTCTAGATCCAACGCTTCTTGGAAATCGAATCGTTGAGCCTCAGGCGACAATACAACGGCAGGAAGCCGAAATCTTTTGTCGCTTCGAAGATTCGGGCATGTTCGTTGAGGGTGCAGCTTCCCGTGCTAGCGGAGCATCTGCTTGTTCGGCTAAGAGCTGATGGAGAAAGCAACTTCGGCTTGTAGGATCTTGTAGGTGGTGCTGGGATGTAGGTCCGGTCTTGTGTTCTTTGTAGTGCATGTTCAAGCGAATTTGTTTTGCCGTTGGGCTCTCTACTTTGGCACTTGGTAGGCTGGTTCCTGAGCGCACCTCCAACGTCATGAGTCGCGGGCTCGGACTGCTCTACATCCAGAGTTGGCCGTGGAGCCGCTTATCACTTCAAGTGCTGCAGTGCAGAAGCACAGAAGGTTTCAAAGCAGTTGCGTAGAGGCTGCCCGTCGGTGCCGAGGCCCCTGGCACAGTGCTTCCTCACTGAGCTTCCTGCAGCATCTTGGATTTCCGAATCGAACTTCGAGGGCTCACTTTTGTCATCTGTTCAAAGGGGCGGACCACTTGTGAGACGAAATATGCCGTATAGTAGTACACGGATGCATGATGAATTCGTTTGTCACTGACTTTTCCGAACATGAGACAATCTTCGCCTCGTTGGGCTTTGCCACCGAACCCACAATCCACCCGAACTGCCAACTCCGAAGCCACATTGCCCAACAGTAGATTATGGTATTTTGAGGAGTTTGAGGCACCCTGATCTGGATAGTAGGACCTTGGACCCCTGTACACTTGGTACGCAGACTCACAGAAACCAAGTATGTCAAGTGATACCACACTGCAACGTCGAGCCTCTCGAGGCAAACCCCTGTGGCCCCGTCGCCGGCACCAGCACCTGGCTTAGCGGCTGCGGTAGCTCCAGGCGCGAAGCGGCTTGAATCTGTATTTCGGTTTGTCAGCTGCCGGTGAAGGTTACAGACACCGCAAGACGACAGAAGTATGCGCTGCCGCTCACGGTGCTGCGAGAAGCCGGATCTCCTGTACACCGAGCTTGCGCTAGTCACCGGCCGTGAACGTTCTTACTCCGACCTCCTGTCGCACCACCATCACCACCGCCACCACTGCTGTTCTTGCCACCGTTACCATTGACGCTACAGCTATGATGGGGATTCTTGCTGACATTGCCACGTCCCTAGTCAGGACGCTCGTTTACGTCAGGGAAGACCGGGAGGCAAAAAGTGACGTTGCAGGTCCAGCTCCGGCGCCCGCTGCTCCCGGCCCGTCGCCAGGCTTTGGGGCTCCACTTTTAGCAGCGGGTCTTATGAGAAGTATTAGTACTGCTACTACTACTAGTACTAGTACCGGTACTACTACTACTACTACTACTACTACTACTACTACTACTACTACTACTACTACTACTACTACTACTACTACTACTACTACTACTACTACTACTACTACTACTACTACTACTACCTACTACCTACTACCTACTACCTACTACCTACTACCTACTACCACTACCACTACCGCTACCGCTACGACTACTACTACTACTACTACTACTACTACTTCTACTTCTACTACTACTACTACTACTACTACTACTACTACTACTACTACTACTACTAGCACCACTACTAGCACCACTACTAGCACCACTACTACCACACACCCACTACTATACTGTCATGATCATAGCTTCCAGTAGGATTGTCTTAACTGCTATGTTTCACATTACTTGTTCTCTTTGCAGTTTGCTGTTCCTCGTGTGTCACTATTGCGCCGACGACGACATTCGTCTTCGTCATACGTCGCAACCCGATACTGAAGTCCTTACGCTGAGACAAACTTAGCAGTAGCCTCGTTGCACCCAGCGAACTCACAGAGATGCACCATCTTCCCCCGGTGATCTAAACTTCAAGCGACCACGAAAACCCTACCCTGTCTAGGCCAACTCCCATCACCTGCGCCCGCTGTCGCCGCAATGCCGGCACCTGCACCGGCACCGGCTGGTGAGGTGGGGATTGTCTTCGCTGATGTGATGCAGTGCCTCAGATTTCTTCAGGCTTCACGAGCGTGTTCAGACTTCCTACTCGTAGCACAGCATCCGGACAGAGGTCGCATGCATACTTACAAGACTCTCGCTTCAACAGAATCGCGGCTTCGCCCAGAGAACTAGGACACCTGCTGGGTTAGTGATCGCGAAACGCTCAGGCTGCCCCCGCACCCGCGCCGGCCTTTCCGCCCGCCTTTGCAGCAGCCAAAGGGAAGCCGGGAGAGCTGTACCTTGGCACAGCTCAGCACTTCCGTAGTCGGTGCAAGGTGCAAATGTGTGCAATATGGAACGCTGCCTGTTGCCTGTTGAGGCACCTGACAGCAGGAGGTCACTGTGTGGAAGTGATCGTCAAAGCAGATGCCCAGCTGAAGTTGTGCTGCCCGGGATCAGTTGACATGTCCTCCTTCACGAGCTATCGACGGCATGGCAGTGCACATGTTGCGGTACACGCACACATACGCTGCTGTTTTCAAGATGCCAGAAGGGCACCAGCGGATGTCATACGAACAGTCGATGGACATGTTTGACGTGACAAGACACTTCCTTGTGCCACAAGGACCGCGACAGCCGATCGATGCAGCTGAAGTACCTTGACTGGTGTGTTCAACCATTTTGCAGCCTCTGCCAACTTGCAGCAGAGGTCTTGAACGGCTCTCAACTGGCCTTGATTTTTGAACTTAAGCCAGACCTCCCAGAACCTCATCCCAGAGAAAGGTATAACGGGCCCGACACTGGCCACTTGGACACCGTGATTCCTGGCCAGGCGCATGACGGAGTAACATCGAGAGGTCTTTGGGTTTTGGCAGAACAGGTCGCATTACTCTTCGGATCAGCCTGCCTGGAGATTCGTTTCTCGGAGGTGCAGGTTTGAAGGGGCTTCAAAGGTCAAGGAAACCTTCATCGACAACCGTCGTCGATGAAGGTTGCGCGCACCATGCCTTGGCGTCTGCGTCTGTTCCTACAGTGTCCAGCGCAGCGACGAAGGCAAAGACATAAAGGAAGAATCGAGAGTACGAGCGTTGTGTCTTTGTCATCCCGTTCAGGTTCTCTTCTGTGACCCGGTTGTCCCTGCATGCGTGCAGCCAGAGCTGGACCCCGCAGTGGTGAATTTTAAAGATGGGTTTGGACCGAGTCTTAACCGAAATGCCCTCTGCAATTCATGGACTATGTTCTAAGCAGCTTCTGTTACCGAAGCGTCTCGGAAACCTGCAAGAATGATCTTCGCAATTGATCCCTGAGCTTGATTGATGATTCATTTAGCCGAAGAGAATACGAGGGAGTCAGAGGACCATGTCACTTTGCAGGACAGCTGCAAGGCCTTCACGCCGTCCTGTCGCATTCTTGGTTGCATCGAACTTCATCCGCTTTGCTTGGCAAAGTCTTGGTTGTCCAAGGTGGCGGAGCTCCAGCACCTGCCCCAGCACTCGTGGCTGTGCCGCCACCAGCGCCAGCGTCAATGGAGCCCTCCATTCCTCCAGGCTCGGCCGAGGGACTCGGGCAAAGCTGGGGTACAGTAGGTTGCATTCCGCATGCGGCACGGCTCGGCAGGACAGGCTGGTGGCTTGCTCTTTGCTCTGTTTTGGGCAGCTGCATGCTGCAGTTGTTATGCGGAAGTGGGCGGTGAGGATTCTTTGCAACTCTGTTAGCTCCATGCAGGCTGGACCGTCCCGAAGATGATGCAGGCACCGGAGCCCGGCAGTGGTGTGGAAGACTTCAGATTTCCAGGCTTCACTTGGAAGGTGTACTCGGGACCAACGCTGACAGGGCAGAGGGGTGTTGCAAATTTCCAGAGTGTCAAAGCTGGAGGACTGGATCCGACCACCGTCCACCTCGTTGTCACCGCACAGGTAAGTAAAAGATAGCCTCCTGGAAGTCGGTAGCTACCGATCGTTTTAGATCAGGGCGGCCTCCACTTTCCTTTCGGCATGCTTCCTGCCGTGAAGGCAGTCGCTGGGCCTCCAGTGAAATAGCGCGGCCATCTCACCACGGGGTTTGGGCTTGGAGTCTTGTGTAAGGAGTTACGGAAATGCCGAGATCTAAGCGAGGATCCTTGATTTTCAGCAGCATGGACAAGCGATGTTTCCTGCGAATTGGACAACCTGTCTCAATGCTCCCTTGACTTTATTTGGTCCGTGGCACCTGAAGCATAGCCGTTCGAAACAGAATTCTGATCACACCCCGGCCCCCAACAAACAGGGACAAGCCCAACACGAGTAGCCAAGTGTGAGCACCTGCCTGGCCTCTGGCGACGCTGTGAAGCGGATCCAAGCCAGGGCGCTCAAGGTTCAAGTGGATCCAATGTGATTACATGTGGCTCGAGAGCTAAAAGAGCTCATCCTCTTGACTCTATGCCGAGAAGCAAACCTATGATTTTCTACCTGGACCGCACAAACTCCCGCACAAGGGTTGGTTCCTTGTCATGGACACAACATAAGTTAAGGAGTTGCCAGATCAGGTTACTCCGTCATGCGAGCCGCGAGTGGCAACCCACCGGCGCAAAAAGAGTGCCGTCTCGGCATGCCTTCAATGAAGATGCCGATGCACCAAATCCGTCCAGCTTCTGCAGAGGCTGTTGATTTTCATAGGCCCTTTGGAGTCATTGGAGTCGCTTCAGGCTTGACGTGTTTCTGCGCGCAGTTTTGCTGTGGGTGCCTCCGTTCCCAATCCTGCTATTCGCCCAACAAGCAGCTCGAAGATTCCACGAAGTCCCTCCTCGCGAAGTGCGTTAGGCACCCGGCTGGCCGCCACCACCTCGCACAGCCTGGTCTGGAGGCGTTTTCGGGGGGCGGTAGCAGGCTACGAATTGAAGTGAAATCCAGTGGCAGCGGAAGCCGAAGGGGCAGGTTTGCGCAGTGACGTGCCAAAGGCTGCAATTGGTTTGAGTCTTGAAGGTTGTCTCGATACTTGGGGCTCCGAATCTGCGGCCCAGACTGATGACACCAAGAGCAAAAACAGAGAAGACCTTCTTTGACGCAAGGTAGAAATCTTCAGCAATGCTTTGACCGAGGCAGCTCTCCGAGCGATCGAGAAACTCCGCCGCCAGAGTATGCTCCTGTGTGGGGTAGGATTCCAGGTCCGGGCCCCAGCCGAGCCCAGCCCCGAAGTGGTCTGATCCATGCTGCATTGCTGCATCCTCTTCCTTTTCTTCCTGACGTACTTGCCACGTTGTGGAGGCCTTCAAGGTGCTTTGAGCCCTCTTTTGCAGTGGAAAAGAGCAGATTGGCAAGGCGCGGAGGAGATGTGGGGCCCGCCGAAGGAGCCGAAGGCTTCGTCCTTCGCCGCCTTCGCCTTCGGAGTCACAGCGTCACAGAGGTGTTTAGCAGTTTAGCCTTCCTGCTAGGGTCAGAGATGGAGGCCTCACTGTGTCTCACAGTTTTAACTGCAGCATATGCACACGAGGACCACGGTCTTCGCCATGGTTGTCATAGCCATCAAACCCTCCATGCCATTCATCCCCGCCTCGGATGCAGGGCTCAACAGACGCGGGTGACCAGCAAAGTGTGTCGCAAGCCAAGACGAAGACCTTGATGTCAGGGGTTTGATCAGCGATTTTGCGGCGAGAACTGGGATGATTTTGAGAAAAGTTCAATGAGATAGGAAGCATAGTGGTCTGAATCCGAGAAGCGGCAGCCATACGCACAGCAGCCCACCTGAGATTCGACACGTGAATCAGCATGGCAACGCAGGGATCCGGGCTTGTGCTTTCTGCTGAGTCTTCTCAGCCAGAGCAGACCCACAGGCAAGACATGCAAGACCTGACCAGAAGCTCCACAGCTGCAGGCCTTCACGCGTCAAGCGGGGAGATTCCCAGGACCGTTTCTGAGTGCAAGCAAGCCTTGGCAAGTGCCACAGCTCGAAGCCTCGAAGCCGAAGCTGCTGTCAGGACGCGGACCGTGAGAGGCCCCGGCCCCCGCTGTGGGACACTTTGACCTCGCCGAAGAGCTAGAATAAGACTAAGAGCACGAATGAGTCATATGAGCACACCGGGTCTTCGGAAGCCTGTCGCATTGAAGGAGGCGTGGGGAGATTCCGGACCACTTTGTGGGCCCTGGGACTACAATCTTGGGCCGTTCGAGCTCTCATGGCAATGTCAAGGCCCGCAGTGACGAATCGGGGCATGCAGAAGCACGTGCAATCAATCCTTGAGCTGCTTCCAGGAGCCTGATCATGCCTGCTTTGCCTTCTTTTTCCCATTTAGTTCCACTGTGTCGCTCGACACACGGACAGAGAGAACCAAGAGCACACCGAAAGCCAGTGCACTGATCCTTCCGGCATGTACTGGGACTGGGCTGCAGTGTGGCGGTACTTGTACTGAAGCGCACCATGTCATGTTGCAGCTCCAGCTGGATTGCTGGAGCAAGCCGCAAGCCTTAAGTCAACAACAGCCTGTTACCAAACATCCTCTAACTAACTCTACCTGGCTTAGCCAGCCGCGACATCCTGTCGTGTACCTCACGAGGGGACGGCATCTTCGAAAAGCCCTGTCCGAGAGACCCCACAAGGATCTTTCCCACCTGAGGACCCAGCATTCCTGGGCCGACATCGACGGCACGGGGCTGGTGTCGGGAGCCTGGAATTCTTGGCTCAGCATCGGATTTGCCTGTAAGCATCGGTTTTGTTGTTTCGTGCTGTTTGTTTGGGGACCTGGGAAGTGGGTAGACAACGGTTTCCGGATGCAGGCTACTTACATCTGTTGATTGTGGCGATGTTTCTGATGGGTGTATGAATTGTACTGGCAAGGCTGAACTACTACAGAAATGCATTTATATGTTGCGAGAGTCGCGGTTAGCATCGTCCAAGAGCTCAGGGCAATTTCTGGTTGAATGACAAACGCGTCATACGATTGTTATATATTGTTACGGTGGTTCTGTGATGCCAGCCGTAGTTGTTGTTTGCCAATCGCATTCCTGCGAGGGGTGGTGGTGGTGGTGGTGGTGGTGGTGGTGGTGGTGGTGGTGGTGGTGGTGGTGGTGGTGGTGGTGGTGGTGGTGGTGGTGGTGGTGGTGGGGGTGGGGGCATGATTGATATTACGCGAAACGTGACCGTTAAGTTCCTACAACTCACTACTTTCACGTACATGATGATTCGTCGTAATAGCAGTTGTTGTCGTAGCAATAGCAACCGTAGCGTCGTCGTCGCTATTGTGTAACGTGGAGGTGGGAGAGCGAGCGAGAGAGAGAGAGAGAGAGAGAGACAGAGAGAGAGAGAGAGAGAGAGAGAGAGTAAAGGGTGGGGCTCGCTGCACGACAACCCGGGACACACTAAGTTGGTCGTTGCCGTGCTCTGGAACGACCCCAATGCCAACCACTCACTAACACAATGGGGAGGTTGGGCGGGCCTACGGCCTGAGGGTCTTGACGACCCCTCAGCCCAGCAGAAAGAAAGAAAGAGACAGAGAGAGAGACAGAGAGAGAGAGAGACACGGAGAGGGTTGGCCCCATGCCCTGCGAAAGAGCGAGAGCGGAGAAGAACAAGAAGATTCGAGGATGCAGGGATAAGGATGGATTATTTCGTGCTTCGCGCAATGTTCCCAAGGAGTTCCCAGCTTCCCCGACAATCCATTTGCACGAACTCCAAAGGATCCAGCAGAATGCAGCAGATGGTCTAGTCGCTTTATTGGGTCTGCAGACTATCCGAAGCTGCCCTGCGCAGGGCCCGCCGCGAATCCATGGATTCGTTGGACATGAGCGCGAGGACCTTCCTCTTGCCATTGGGCAGTGGTTCGAATTGATTTGTAAAATGCCGGCCCGGTCATAGTCTCCGCAGAGGCCGTCCGTGAGCTTGGTCTCACAAGTTTTGAAAACCCGGGCCAAACGCAGGCATCTTTGCATGTAAGAGAAAATGCAGACACAAGCTTTCACAAGCACTTCTTTGGTGGTTCAAGGACTGGGTTGCTTCAGGTCGGTCTCGCGCAAAAAAAATGCAAGCCCGTGGGCTGCAACTTAGCATTGGCGCAGGTGCTGCGCTGCTGCACCGTCCTTGACGCAAACAAAAAGAAGTTCTTTTTGGGCATGCGTCCGGCTGGCGGATTCAGACCTCGGCCGTGCTCAGCGCAGAGTGTCAAGTGACCGACAGGACATATGCCCTGGCGATTTTGGCTGGTCGCCCCGCCGTGGATTGCTCGAAGACTCTGGTAAAATCTCCAACTCGACGTTGACAACGTTCTAGTCAGAGCAGCAGTATAAATGTGTGTGTATATATATATATATAAAGAAAACACATTATTCAGTTAGCACGCATCAATGACAGACAGAGAGTCTGCTGACGCTGATATTCTGATTATGGTGCGGATTCTGATGGCGACAACTATCATAATTGTGATGCTCGTTGGAATCGTAGCATTAACAGCATCAGATGCAGTGCCAGTAAAGATGTCTGATAGTTGCAATCACCGGAGCTGTAGTCATCAGCATCATGCTACACAGCTCCGATGTTTAGAAGCTCCTATGGGCCGGATCGCGATCTCGCATGCAATACATTTACGAGGTTCTTTGATGGAAAGACTGTGGCGATCTCAAATAAATATTTCTTCATTTCATCATCATTTTGTTCTTCGTTTTCATCTTCGTTCCATTTCAAACCTTCATTCCATCTTCATTTTAATCTTCATCTGAATCATCATTTATCGGGCCTGGGCGGAGGCCCGCTGGAGGGGCTGGAGCGGAAAATGAAGAATGAATCATGGTTCAAATGAAGATTAAAATGAAGAAGACATGATGATTTCCTAGGGAAATCTTCATGTTTTCTTCATTTTAATCTTCATTTGAAGCTTCATTTTAATCTTCATTTGAATCATCATTTGTTCTTCGTTTTCCTCGTCAGGGGGCCTGGGCAGAGGCCCGCTGGATGGAGCGGAAAATGATGATTGAATGAAGAAGGAACCGCGGAATGATGAAAAAAACGAAGCCGGAAATGAAGAACAAAATGATGATTGAATGAAGAGCGAACCCCAGAATGAAGAATAAAATGAAGACCGAAATTAAGATTAAATGAAGAAATAAATATTCAAAGGTTTACAATCTGTGCATCCCTGAGAGTCTCATAACAATACATCGCAGGCTGGGTGCAGGCCGACGGCACTTCAGCACGAAGGTGACTCGGGAGCAGTCGCGAGAACAGTTCCTCAAGCTTCGTTCGGCGGTGAGTTGGGTTCGGGGTTGTGAGGCTAACACAGGCTGGGAGACGCTGGCAGGATAATAGCAACCTGCACTCGACTTCAAGAGATGCTAAACCGTGGGACAACGGCAAGACGACCGCTTGCTGCACACATCAGGTGACTTGTGGCAAATCCAGGCTAATCCTTCCTCTCAGACTTAGGACCATATGCTGGCGGCTGGGATGTCCTCGGGGCAGGCCAGGTCTTGGTCGAAAATGAGATTTGCTTTGGCCTGGTGCTTCCAGCTGCCGCGCGGGTGCGCGACTCTGTCAGAAGTTCGAGCTGGCGAGGTGCCGGCAGTTTGCAGACCGGAAGTTTCAAGCAGCCTGTCGGTCAGTCAACAAGGCCCCAAGATAGCAAGCACCCGTTAGTCCTGAAGCCCCTCGCGACGATCCAAAGTTCCCATGAAGATGCGCGAAACCACTGTTCGCAGGCTTCACCCAAAGGAAAGAAGCTGATGCCAGCCCAAGACCATCTGCTTGGCTCCTGGATCCGTGTCGCGGTGTTCTGTGTCACAAAGGGATGTTTGAAGGCGTCCTTGATTTAGTCTTAGGTTGTTTCGAGATTATAGGGTTTAGAGGCGTGTTCTGAACTAGGGTCCTGCAAGAGGTGCGGAGTTGTTTGACGGGATAGGAGTGTACTTACTTGTCGGTTTGAAATTCACTACCGTGGAGTCTTGAGCTGTTTTACGGTGAGGGCTTGTCGAGTCTGGAAGTCTGCGTTGCGGCCATTGCGGATCCTTCTTGCAATAGACTCTCCCCCCACGGAGTGGCCCCACCCTCGACGGAGTGGCCTGCTGCCTCCTCAACTCAACAAGGCAATCCGGCTGGGCAGTACACATACCGTTGGGACCCCGGGATGGCACTCTGTGCCATGACCTTTCGCCGCCTGACACTGGAGTTGCTCTGTTGCCCTTGGCCTGTTTCCTGCAGAGCACACGACACATGTCGGTTTCGGCACGCTGCCGGGATGCAATCTCTGTCGTAGATGCCGCATTGGCACCTTGGACTCTATACTCTATACGTTTGCTTGCAACAGGGATCCATTTCAGATGCATGGTGCATGTGCACCTCTTTTGTAGTGCTTGTGTAGATGGTGCAGCGGCAGCAACGACGACAGGCCCGAGCACGAAGTCCGCCACGGGCGGCAGCGCGAGGCACACTCGGCTGCGAAAGCTGTGCTGCACTGCCGCATCAATTTTTGCAGAGGTTCACTGAGGCTCCCGAGGCGAACGCTGTACTTCATAGGGCAAAGGTTTCCGTAATTCACCTTTTTGGCACAGACGGCCAGGCAGCCTTCCATAATGGCCTGGAGCGTTTCATTGGCCATGGTCGGCGCATCTTGGACAAAGAATCGTCAAGGATTGAGGCTTCAGGGTTTGTGGGGGCCTTGAGGTCTGGGTCATTGGGGAGGTGGGAGGGCTTCTTGAGCATGCAGCACTATATCTGTTCAGAGATTGCAAGCGATGCTAACGGTTGAGGGATGTCGGAGGACCACTGGGTTTCATGACCGTGTCAAGCTTCAACGCCGTCCCGAGGTGGATGTTGTAATACGCAGTGCGACTGACAATTAGAAGGGGCTTTTAAGGTACATCAACTGTATAACAACTTACTTGTGTAGGGACTTTGCGTACTGGGTATGGGTATGTATGATCACTGCAGCACACACCGCCTCCCAATACGTTCTTCATTTTTGTTGATCTCGGCCGATGCGACGGTGTTTGCCATTCGTTCCTGTTGTGTTGATGTTTCGGTTAACAGCATTTAGCAGAAGTTCAAGTGTGTCGATGCGAAAGTATGTTTGGGTCACTTGCAGAAACACTGCAGACAGGGACCCCGCGGACTTCTGAGCTCAAAGTGCCTCTGAGTGTGCGGGCCATGCGCGACAGAGCCGTTGTGCGGCTGTTAGAAGCAAAAGCGTCCGGATATGAGCCTGGGCAAACTGAGATCCTGGCTGATGGAATCTTGCCCGAGTGTTCCAGCGATGAGTCCCGAAAGCCGAAAGCCCTCCTCGCTCCAAGGCCACCGTCCCGAATGGGTGCAGAAGGACGCGTGTTTTGCGGAACCCGGAAGAGGTCATCAAGGGCTCACGAGCAGCTCTGGGCCCTCATGAGATTCTGACTTGGGGAGCAGCCCCGAAGTCTTGATTCAGATCCTCCTAGTGGGGATTGCAGGGGTTAACATGGACTGCTACAAATTCTGTCGTTGTCCGTTCTTCCGCGTCCTTTTGCGAGTATCGTTTTCGGTGCCCTTACCAGTGCTCAGTAGACCTCGCCGGCAGGACAACCCGTTCCGGCCGATACAAGATGCTACTCCCGGGCCCGCTGGCTCAACTGCACCGGGGGAGACTGGGGGGGTGAGGATAGGGTTTTGGGGTGGTTGGGTTGAGTTCGAACTGTAGTTCGTAAAGCTGATCATGATTCAATGACAAGCAAGTTTGTCCACTCCAGATCCTGCAGCTGTTTATTTGATGGACACGCATCCCTGTATTGTTCATTGCGGATGCCTTGGGTCTCTGCTGTGCATATGCCAGCAATTCCGCAGAGCGCTTCTGGTGGAGTTTAGGTTTCGAGACAGCTATGTCAATTTGGAATCCCAAGACCATGCAAGGAGTACTCCGACTGATCCAGATACTCGTATCATCTGCGTCTGAGATTCAAGCACGGCTGCATTGTGATCGTTGTAAGAGCAACTAGAGCGTCGCCGCTTCAGGTGACCGCTAGCCCTGCAACCTCCCACGACGTGTCACAGTCTCGTAGCCTAGAAGTCTACAGACGCGTCCCAGCACCAACCTGCAACTGCAAGTTTCGTGCACGATGGTTTCGGGCATCGGGTCTTTCTGAGACACCCTGCGCTGCAGCTGGCACAGCTTTCGCATGTCCTCGTAGCACTGCGAGCAAGCAGAGGTGTCGGTTATGATTTTGCTAAGACTTTCAAGCAGTTGACAGCCTCGACCTGACGTTTTTGGCATACCTTGATTCGAATCAACCAACTTCGATACTCCGAAATAGCCAACAGGCGCCTTTAGCTGAAAAGAACTCAGCTTTGCTGCAATGCGGCTTGGCCTGCAGATTCCAGTCTGTGCTTCGATCACGTCCTTGACGTTGGTGGCTTTTTGGGCGAAGAGCGCAACACCTACGGAGCAGCCGGAGCTGCAAACATCGCAGGAGCAGCCCTTTCTGAAGGCAGGCGGCCCATTTGCGCATGACCCCAGTCGCATAAGCTTGATTGGCAGGAACTTGGTCATAGCAGGAGACTCGAACGATGAGCGCTTCTTCCTGTATTTCTGCAGGCGCCTGACCGGAGAGTTTAATTCGATACTGCACACAACAGAATTGGTGAACCCTGTCGCGAGCGAGTATCATGGCAAGATTCGGTGGCCCACAATGGCCAGTGTCATGACTTGCCATGACCGCAGACGAAACATAAGCGCGGCTTTCGTGTTCCATCAAGGTCTATACAGCATTCCTCCGCAACCAACCTGGTATCTTGATTTTGCCCACCGCCGAATGCGCACTCACTACCCCAACGCCGAAGGAAGGAGAGGCATCCTTCCAATCACTGACCAGGCTCGCTGGATTTGGCCCCAAGTTGTTCTCCAGTTGCTTCCGAAGCGCGAGAACATACTCCTCCTTCAGTCCTCAATGTGGGACTCTGTCGCTGTCCTCGAAGGGGTCGTTGGCACACGAGTTTCGCTGATGACAGAGGCGCAGGATAACATGACAGTTGAAGTTGGAGGCCGCATCTCGGCCGCGAACTTGAGCACTTGGGGTTGGTTGACGCGAGCGGAAGACGTTTGGCTTGCTCTACTGCAAGGCTTCCAAGAGAACGGCTTGGAGGTGGTAGCTCGTCTTTGGCGCACGAATCCTGATTGTCCACGCCTGGTGCACGAAGGTTCTGCAATTCTAAACCCACTGAGTCGCCTCTATGCTGAAGCGGTAGAGGACGCGCGGGCATCGCGGGCCGGGGCTTGGTCGGACGCTTGCATAGTTGACCTACGTGGATACTACGTCGCTCCAAGCCCGAGCCAATGTGACCATCACCACTTCACCAAACCAGGCTGGGAAGCTTACTGGATGGCCTTAAGCGACTGCATGCAGCTGCCCACTGAGACAGAAAAAGTAAGCCTACGATTCCACGGAAGTTCTGAAAAGGATCTGAACAGTGTCGAGAAGGATGCCAATGAAGTTCCACTGATGAATCCCGAACTCCACCAGCTTCGCACCCCATGCACGCTGGCCCGGAAGCAGATGGCAGTGTTATAGAATGGTGTCCTCGGCTGTCTCGCAAATCCCCGTTAAACCTTCCCTCACCGTGTCCTTCCCACCTGAGGCCCCGGCGACGTCCAGTGGGAGGCGCCGACCACATCGTGCCGGGCTGCGGGCAGGCATCCTGCCTGGAGGACCGTCCAGTGGCCGAGCGGCCGGCTGTGTAGATTCGAAGAACCTTTCATCGCAGCATCCTCACCAAGTCAATTGTGCTTTGAACCCCCACGATGCTGGAAAGAGGATGCATCTCCTGTGGGAAGGCGGCACTTCGGTGCAGCGGACCGAGCTTCTGCTTCACGGTTCAGTTCGTGCAAGCTCACATTTCGGGAAGAGAAGCCGGCCGCGTCGACTTTGACTCATCGGAACTGCTTTACATGTACATGATGTCGTGCACTTCTTATCAGCTCTCCTCTGTCGCCCTAGTTTCAAGATCTTCTCCAGGCTTCGGCCTGCAGTACGGTTCGAGTGCTTGTTTGGTGATGAGGCTGCTTTCTTTGCGGTTTCGACAGCCTCAGCTAAACGAGTCTGGTCAACAAACTGGGGTCCTCGGGTAGTGTAGAACCGCCTGTGACCAGGACTGCCTTTCGACAGGGTAGACTTGAAAAGGTCGTAACCAAAGCAACACCTCGCACCCCACACAGGTTCAAGGTTTTAAGACTTTGGATGTTTCTGGATTCGCGAAGCTTCTGAGCTGCGAAGTGTGATTGGCCAGCGAAGGCCCGAGATAATATCCGGCCTGGATTTGCCTTCGACAAGACCCACAGCGAGGCAGAGGAAGACTCGGAGGGCCAGGGAAGACCCGGGCCAGTGGGGAACAGTTTGAGTCGGCACGACATTCACAAGTTGCATGCAGAAAGCGTAGCGGCATAGCGCGGCATCGAGGCTTGCATGGCAGTGGGGAGTATGTGTGTGTCGGAGGTTGAAGTCTCCCAGATGGTTCATGATAGGAAACCAACGTTTTTCTTGAATCTGCTGTTTGGACTTGGCAGACTTAGCAGATGTTTAAGTTTGTGGAGCGCGGAGTTGTTTCATGCTTGAAGGGCTGAACGACACCAAGCTCTCGCCAGCGTAGTGGCTTCTAGATCCTGAAGTCTCAGCTTCAACATGTACAACCACCCTGCATTCCCAACCCAATTCAAACGCCCCATGGCATCTACCAAACCTCCACAGTGTCAGGGCTCCATCGGCTATGGCAGGCAGCGCATCCAAGAAAAGGCAGAGCGAACTTGGGAGTTATGGGAATTCGTGCCTGGTCCCCCTTGGCTAAGCCTGATTTGCAGGAACTGTTGCGATCTTCGGCACCCCAGTTTGAGCATCATCTACAATCTACAGATCAGGGATAGACCGCAAGGAACGCAACAAATGATGGGCCTTTACCATGAAGGCGGAACACGGCACGAGTGGCTCCAGAAATTGTCAAGATTTTCACAGCACACCATACGTCGTTAATGAAATTGGACTCGAGTCTCAAAAGCGAGAGTCTCAGAAGTATCAAATCCTCTACAAACCTGCATTGCGAGGCACACCTTCTCGGTGGTCTAGCCCGCGCAGCCGACTGCCCCGGTCAACACGGTCATGCCAGGCCAGCATCCTCAGAGCACTTCTTCACATTCTTATAAATGCAGTGTATATACTGTTTCTATATATATATATATATATATATGTATATGTATATGTACATGTACATGTATACATACATATGCAGGTACGCATCCCTGCATCCTTCCATGCGTGCATCCACTCCTGCATGCACGCGTTCCGAGTCAAAGGGATGGTGACGATGATGATTATCATCCTCATGACGGTGATAGCGATGATGATGATGATGATGATGTTGATGGTGATGATGGCTATGATGGCGAAAACCAAGCTCTGCGCAGGCGAACATGGAGTTTGATTCTGCTTCATCGTGAGGTTGCCAAAACCTCACCGTACGTTCATCACCCGCCAGGGACGACGACTTCCAGGACGGCATTGAACGGGGCATCGGGCACGGAAAGCTGGGTCCTCAACTTCCTGCCACATGCGGAGGGTAGGGGTTCAGGGCTTCATGTCTTTCACTTCCACACATCCGGTCTAAGTATACAAGGGTCTGCTTAGTGTGAGGCAGTGGTTCCCTCCCAAGCAAAATTTGTCTTCAATAATGTGTGTACAGGCGGGCTCCGAAAAAGTCGGGGCATAGTCTTTGTAATGGTAATAGTAGTGGCAATGGTAATAAAGGTTAATAGTGGTAGTAGTAGTAGTAATAGAGATAGGGGCCGGACCAGCTTTGCATTAATGGGTATCCATCAAGCTGTGGATGAATTCTCTACTATCGAAGGCCATGCTTCCAAAAAGACACGGAGCTTGCTAAAACCTAATCTGGGAAGGTCAAGAAGCTCTGGCAAGCTTTGCATCATACGCCCACACCCTCCCCCCAACAAAAACTAATGCTTTTCGGCTTACATTAAATCACGAATCACCACCCCGTTTTGCCTCGCTAGCTGTTTTGCTTGGAGTCAGTCACGAGAAGATCAACAAGCAAAGTTGAATGTGCGCGCGGTGGCTCAATGCAAATTATTCGATTGGAGCGCCCGAGATCTCTGCTTGTTGACCGTGCCGCGCCCTCAGTGATGCGTACGACGCCTACGCCGCCTACGGGAGGAGGTTAAAGGATCAGCTACCGAAGTGCCGTAGTTGAAGACCCTACCACCTTGTACTCGCGATCAGGCTTGCTTCATCCTGGCAACCCCAAGAAGCCCCTGGAAAGCCAAAGAGGGAGAGGGTCGCAACACCCGTGACGGCAATCCTGAAGTGTGGAAGCGTCGACCCACGGCCTTCAAGGCCACTTCCACTTCCCTCTCGGATTCCCAACAAAAATCCCAGCTGTGAGCCAAGGCGAAGCCCCTTTCCACTTCCTGTAGCGCTCATGGCTGCCATGGCACTGCCCAGCTTCGCATCCACCCAGGCTCAGGCTTGACGCGGGCTTGGGAAAAGATATGGGGGGACTAGGGCTGAACCTGAGCAGAGATTGCGCATTGGACCTCTGCATCCTTCGGTCCGTCTCAGGTGAAGGGCAAGAAGGAGAAGAGCCCAGTTCTCAGAGCGGTTTCGCCTGTGCCAGTGGACGCGCTTGGAACGTGGTTGCCGAAGCATCTGCTAGCTAGCAGAGACCCTTTCTTTGACATGAGCGGTTTCCCCTTGGGTGGGAGGGGTGAAAAACTGGCAGATGCAGCAAGACTGGCAAAGAGCAAACACAGTCAGTGTGTGCGTGTGTGAAGCCTCACATCACCCATGCCCAGGCCCCAAGAAGGTGCTGTTGAAGACCCAGCAAGAGGCAGGATGTACTATTGCCAGAATTTCAGCATCGATTCGCAATACTTTGGATGTAGCGAGTGTGATGATTTGCTGTCTGGTGTCTCGGAGCTGTCAGCAGGAAATGCCGGGTGTTGAGCTTCGGAGTCCGCTCTTGCTTGATCTGTCGCAGTTGCAGCAGCTCGAGTTTCTAAAGCCGTGTGTTGAGCCCTGCCAGGCCTTCAACACTGAGCATCTCGCTTGCACATCCAACGGTTCTGTTGTCGAGGATTGAGCAGCGCTTTCTGAAGGGGGAATCATCATGAGAGGCTTGCCGTCTTGGGAAGGTGTTAGATGTTCCTTCCCTTGGCGTGCAAGCGCGCTTCGCCGAGTCCCGCAGACTTGCAGCCCGCCTACCTTGTCCGCAATGGACTGGAGCCGATCCACGAGGAGCCATGGAGCCTGAAGATCTAGTTGCTGCTCCCATGGATTCTCCTGAGTATCTTTGGAGCACGGTTGAAAGCCCGGACCGGGTCTGGACGTCCCGGATCCGCATCGCTTTTGAATGCGAAACGGAGCGCTTAAAGAGCATCGATGCCCCTTCCCAGGCGTGAACACCTTGCCTAAGGCTCCGTGAGACTGGGAGGGTCCGGGTGTATGACCAGCGTTTTCGATTCCGACAACCCTGAAGGCCCTAAGCCCTGGACTCAACCGAAAGGACGAAGAGCATTTCACGACGATCGCTCCCCCACCGGGTCTCGAGAAGTGCGATGTGCCTCAGATGCATATCTTCTGAACTTTGAGTCTGAGTCTAGATCCTCGCGTAGCAAAACGCCCTCTAGGAATGGCTGGTTTCTGAGTCTGAGGTTTTCAGTGCAAGCTGGAGGTAAATTCGAGATTTGAGTTCAGCGGTGTTTGGCGTGAGAAGGTGTCGCGACATTGGCACTCGTGCAGTCTTCGGTCGAAAGTCTTTTCATGAAGTGTAGCGGAAAAATTCCTCAGAAGAAGTCGTGACAAGGACGACTTTTCCGACAGCCTCTGGAGTCGCCGCGAGCTCAGCTTTCGGACAGACATCGGGAAATCTGGCACTTCACTCCTCAGCTTCAGAGCTTTAACGCGCAGATGTTTTTCATGATGTTCCTCCCATAGATTCGATGATGAAAAAATATGGCAATGCCGACAAAATCTCGACCACTGGCGCTCTGTTATGCAATGGTGCTGCATGTGCAAACTATCCTGATCGCAACTACACTATTTCATGTGCATTTGGCAATGACAGGAGAAGACGTTCACAGTCGTTAGTTTCGAAGTCGGCGTCGTCGTGGTCCTCCTCACTGTAGCATTGGTATTAGCATCGGAGAAACAGGAGCTACCATTGCTGCCTTCGCATCACAGTAGTGGCCGGAGTATTTGTGGCAGCCGTCGAGGTTTCGGAAGTCGGACCTTGTCGAGAGCCTTCATATTCGTCGCAGCAGCGTGTTCGCCATTGTTCTCTTAATGACTGTCATGATGTCTGTTAGTCGGGTCAAGTTGTCATGATGACTGCTAGTCGGGTCAACTTTCCACGTCCTTGGTCTTATCATGATGTTTCAACCCGGAGCCTCTTGGGAGCCCCAAATCCCAGACTGAGCAGAGCACTATGAGAAAGTCACGGTTCCTGTGCCACCCCAAACTGCTCGAGAGTCATTCGTTTTCTCCAGGCTCCACTACTGGCGGCAGTGCCGGGTTCGAGACGCAACCGGAAGAGGAGGCAGGAACATCTGAAGTGTTTCGGCGCGGCACAGGCTTTGTGAAAGATCAGCAATGTTCCCTGGCCTCTTTAATGAGGATACTTCCAGGACAATGCCTGCAAATTGGATTCCGGAGCTTGGGTCGTCTACATTTGTGTCTGCAACTACCCATGTAGCAGATGTACGAAGAAAAGGACACTGACAGATGGAAAGACAGACTCACCCAGGCAGAGGACAAAAGCGAGAGCATGCCAGCAGGCAACCAATTGCTTGTAAGATCCAAACGTGCACACCGTCAGGACCACTCAGTCTGTCTTTTGATGCTGCCGGAAGCCAGGCGTCGCCTTTCCAGTCCATGTGTCCAAAACAAGAACAGGTCGAGGATGACTTTGTTCATGCTGCCCTTGCTGAGCAAATCGCCGCGGCCTCGGAACTGAAGAGCTACGGCGGAATGTCACTGACACTTTGGGACCTCAGGTTTAGCATCATACACAAACGCAAGACTCATGGACCAATCACTTGTCACCAAGATCGACTATTGCCTACTCCAGGTTGGTGAGGCTTCGTGAGATCCAACGGTAAGCACCTGCTGTCGCGGAACACCTCCTCCACAGGCATTCTAGCCTTGCTTCTTGCCAACTTTGAAACTGATAGTATTAAACCACCAGGCCACCTACGAAGAACGTGTATGAATTTAGATACGTAGGAATGTTCATAATATGATAATATGCGTGAGGGCGACATGAGCATACATCCAAGAGATACTGGCGCATATAGATAGGGATATATGTACACACATACATACCTGTTACCAAACATGAGCGTTGGTATACGCATATGTGTATATGTATGTATACATACACATACATAGACATAGACATAGACATACACATATGCATATACATATATATATATATATACATATATATATATACATACATACATACATATGTATATATATACATATATATATATATATATATACATACATACATACATATGTATATATATACATATATATACATATACATATATATATATATATATACATATATATATATATATATATATATATATACATATACATATATATATATATATACACATAAAAACATATATATATATATATATATATATACATATATATATGTATATACATATGTACATGTCTATGTGAATGGAAATAAAGATCTATGTGTGCATATATCTACACGCACAAGCTTCTTGAACATATACAACTAGACAAACAGACAAACAAGTAAATAGTTCAACAATTGAATATTGAATATCTAAACACGCACATATATATATATATATAATATATGTATATATATATATACATATATATATACACACATACATGGATGTATGCATGCATGCAAGCATGCATAGATGTATGTATGTATATTCCGTCGGCATGTATGCGTGTGTGCATGTATGTATGTTTGTGTGTGTACCGCAGTACGCCGAAAGCCATCTTGCCAGCTGACTCGCTCAGGCAAAGCTCTCCGCAATGCAGCGCCTCAGCGAATGGATTCACGATCGCTCTCCGAGTGAAGCAAGAAAGAGCTCAGGGTTTAGGGTAAGAAAGAGCTTGAAGGCGTGATCGCGCATTTCTCAGCTTAACGGGTGTCAAGATCTGTGACCGCCATCAGTGCGGCTCATGCACCCGAGTAGCAGGACGATCATAGCCTCCAAAATATCCTGGAACACGTCCCCACACAGCGAATCAAATCTTTGGCTGACTTGGGACGTCAGCGCTTCTCACGAAACTGAGGATTCAAGAGACCATGGCCACGATGTATTTCAACAACTTGTCTACCTCACCACCTGCTCCGATGCAAGCCGCGTGGATGGTTCAGAGTTGGAGGGGTTTCCTTTACCAGAAAGGCTACTTATGATCAGTGGAATGAGCAGCAGGGCTAAGAGCGATATGAGACAAGCAAAATCTTAAGAACTATCCGGCGCAGCAAAGCAAGAAACAGGGAGGACGAAGGACGACAGTCTCAGCAACAGTAGCAAAAGTCGGGGGTGGAAACAAGACCAAAATCAAGCTACAAGTGATCTGAGGCGGGAGAGCCGGCTTTTGCAGCGGCTTGGACGCTCCTTGGACTTCCCACACATCGTGATGTTCTCGTGTCCATGACAGATCTCAATCGGATTGTTCTAAGCGATCCGAAACGTCTCAGGCCAACGCCGGTCCGCAACTTCTGCCACTTGGGTTTGCAGATGTGGCTTAAGGTTTGCGTGGGATCCTCCAGAGTCCAGAACTTGGGGCCGGCATGGAAAATTGGGAGCGTTGATGGATCTGCAAAGCTCTTCTAGTCTCGAAGTCACTTTCGAGCAGTCTTCTCATCGTTTCGGCTGAGATTAGGGGATCATGACATCTAGGAGGACCCCCTAGCAATAGCCGGATGGGGGGGGGGGGTTAGTCGAATCGGGGGCTATTTAGAATAGCCGGGGCGGTTATTTATGTTAGGGTGGGGTACCTCCAAATAAATAGCCGGGAATCAATGCGTTTTGAAGGACGCACAGGAGCAGTGGAAGGGGTCACCAATCGTCACATCCAGGGCTGATTCTAGCATCAGTCTACTTTGTTTTAGCCATCTCCTCAAGCCCGCTATATGGCCATACCCAACCCGGCCTGTGTTCTTGCTATCACTCTGTCGCTCCACAGGGGTTCCCTCGCACAGAGAGAAAAGCGAGAGAAAGAGACAAAGAGACAAAGAGAGAAAGAGACAGAGAGACAAAGACAGAAAGAGAGACCGAGAGACCGAGAGACAGAGACACAAAGACACAGAGACACGGAGACACAAAGAGAGGGACAGAGAGAGAGAGCGAAAGAGAGGTAAAGAGAGAGACAGAGAGAGAGAGAGAGAGACAGGGAGGACTACTCCCGCTCCAAGCCCCTAGCAAAGCAAAGAGAGAGCGAGAGAGAGAGAGAGAGAACGTAGGCCCGGGTCTGCATGCAGATGGCAGGGAGGGGGAGAGGGAGAGGGAAGGCCGAGAAAGGGAGAGAAAACGCAAGCAGAGAAAGAGACAGAGAGAAACAGATAACTAAGAGCATAGTCTTCCCCACTATTCTGTCGGAGCTCTTCGTTGTTTTGCCGCCCTGCCTGCCAACAACAGCACGGGTGGGCCTGGCGCCCGGGAGCCTTGACCTTCCAAGAGCCTTGTTAAACTACCGCGCCATAGAGACCCCCATCCCAGCCGCTCATATCCGACCTGCAAGTGTCTAGTTTCCATACCGACGAGCCCAATATGCAGTTCAGCGTGAGCGAAACAAATCCCAGGGACAGACCCCGGTGTGTGTATGTGAGGCACACGAACGGCAGGGAAAGAGCTGATGTAGGTGGGGGGACCCAGGCTTCCAAGAGCTTTGCTAGACTACTGCGCCAGAAAGACCCCCATCCCAGCCGCCTATTTCCGACCTGGAACTGTCAGTATGCAGCTCAGTGTGAGCGAACCAGATCCCAGCGACAGACCCCGGTGTGTGTATGTGGGTTGCGCACGAACGGCTGGAAAAGAGCTGATGTAGGTGGGGGGGGACCCAGGCTTCCAAGAGTCTTACTAGACTACCGCGCCAAAGAGACCCCCATCCTAACCGGTTATTTCCGACCTGGAACTGTCTGTTTTTCGTGCCGATGAGCCCCGTATGCAGCTCAGCGTAAGCGAAACAGATCCCAGCGACAGGCCCCGGTGTGTGTGTGTGTGTGGGTTGCACACGAACGGCTGGAAAAGAGCTGATGTAGGGGGGGGGGACCCAGGCTTCAAAGAGCCTTGCTAGACTACCGCGCCAGAAACACCCCCATCCCAGCCGCCTATTTCCGACCTGGAACTGTCTGTTTCCCTTACCGATGAGCCCAGTATGCAGCTCAGTGTGAGCGAAACAGACCCCAGCGACAGACCCCGGTGTGTGTATGTGGGTTGCCCACGAACGGCTGGAAAAGAGCTGATGTAGGTGGGGGGACCCAGGCTTCCAAGAGTCTTGCTAGACTACCGCGCCAGAGACCCCCATCCCAGCCGCCTATTTCCGACCTGGAGTTGTCTGCTTTCCATACCGATCTCAGTATGCAGCTCAGTGTGCCAATCTTTTTCTTGCAAACATCAGAACCCTGGGTCCACTGTTTTTTTTTTCCTAGGTCTGGCCTGGTCTGGGGGGCCTTGCTAGGTCTGGTCCCATGGTCCCTGGTCCCCTGGTCCTTTGGTCGTCCCCTGGTCCCTGGTTCCCTGGTCCCCTGGTCTCTCCTGGTCCTGTACCCCTGAACCTTCAAACCTGCAAACAACTAACAACAAACAACTAAATAACTAACACAACTAACAACAAACAACTAACAAGAAACAAGAAAGAACAAACAACAAATCAAGAAAGGGATAGGGGTTAAAAAAATTAAATAAGGATCAAAAAACTAAATAAGGATCAAAAAAAATTAAATAATGATCAACAAAAAATTAAACTGGTATCCGCGAAAGGAAGGGGAAAAAGGAAGGAAAGAAAGACAGAGAGAGAGAGAGAGAAGGAAAGAAAGAAGGAAATAAAGAACGAAAGAAAGGAAGGAAGAAAGAAAGCAAGAAAGAAAGAACGAAAGAAAGAACGAACTTTAAAAAGATACAAAAAACAACGAAAGAAAGAAATAAAGAACAAAAGAAAGAAAGAAAGAACGAAATAAAGAAATAAAGAACGAAAGCCATGCAATAAATAGAGAAATAAGTAAATAAAGAAAGCTACAAGTAAAGAAAGAAAACAAAAATAGAGAACTAAGTAAATAAAGCAAGCTATAAGGAAAGAAAAAAGAAAACACAAGGAAAGAACCAAAGAGAGTTAGAAACAAAAACAAAACAAACAATGAAGAAATAACCAAAGAACAAAAACAGAGAAATAAAGAAAGACGGAAGGCCATAAATTAAGAAAGAAAAACGGAAATAGTTAAAGGACCAAGAAAGACGCGGAAAATAAAGAAGAACGATACGTAAGACTATCGCTTCATTGTGCTTTAAAAATTCAAGAACTGCTGTATCTAAAAAGCAAGAAAGAAAGACAGAAATAACGAAAGAACGAGAGAGAGAGAACGAAAGAACGAAAGCAAAAACAAGAGGAAGATCGAAAGCAAGAACTAAAGAAATAAACTTAAGGAAATACCACGGAATCCGTAGGGAAATCGTGTTGTCCCGAGCAAAAACCAAGCAAATCCTCAGGAAATGAAAACGAATCCGTATGAAAACAGTGTTTCCCCTGGGAAAAATTCCAAAATTGCTGCATCTAAAGAGGACGAAAGAAAGGAAAACAGAAAGAAAGAAAGAAAGATAGAACGAGAGAGCGAACGAAAGAACGAAAGCAAAAACGAAAGAAAGAACGAAAGCAAGAACGAAAGAAAGAACGAGCCAAAGAAAGAACGAAATAAATCAAACCAGAAAGAAAGCAAGCAAGAAAGGCAGGGAGTATGAGATGAACAAAGAAAGAACAACAGAAATAAAGAAAATAAATGAACGAGCGAAAGAAAGAAAGTCCAGAATAAAAAAGCAAAGTTGGAAAAGACGAAAGAGAAATAATATGAAATAATCACAGAAACAAAGATACAAGCAACAGGATACTACATAGTCCAATCGAATATACCATAATATCGTAATGTACCGTAACATAATATAACATAATGTAACCTAATGTTCTAAAAAATACTACATATTATGTTGTAAATATACACACTGTATTGCACTATGTTACAATGTACTACACTATAAACTAAGATGTTGTTTTGTTCTATGTCATCTTCCGTTATATTGCATTGTTGTATTTTTAGTATGCTATTATATGCTATAAGAAGCAAGGTTCTGTTATGTCAGAAAATGTCACACCATTTTTGTGTTGTCGAACCATCTTATGTCGTTCTTCTGGTTTACTATGTTATATATATATATATTAGGTTAGAATGCTAACGGAAGAAGAGACACGAACAGGCACGGAAGAACACAACACCCGCCGCCGCGCTTTTCGAGACGTGCAAGCTTGATTCAAAGAGTGTTTTCGAAGCCCGTCATGTGAACGTTGTCTCTGCAAATGGGGGGGGCTGCGCCCCCCCCAACCCCCCCGCTGTTTTAAGCCGTGCAGGGTTGCTTTGAAGCATATGCCTTTTTTCGAAACCCAGCAAATGAGGGCGTCTCCGCCCTTGTAAATACATGCTGAACCAGAATCGCCAAATGAGGGGCGTGTTTAAGATAGATGATGAAGCGGAATACCAGAAACAGCTACAACAGGAAATCCGTCCTAAATGTGAAATTGAAAGGAAAATTTGATTTTCCCGAGGAATACCATATGTTGTCCTTCTGAAAACCTGAAGAAATGACACGAACGCCATAGGTAAGAGGAAAATAGGCTTTTTCCTACGAAAAATCAAGGAAAACTTAGGGAAATACCACGGAATCCGCAGGAATATCGTGTTTTCCAGAGGAAAAACCAAACAGATCCTAAGGAAACAAAAGAAAATCCCTAGGAAAACAGTGTTTTCCCTTGGAAAAATTCAGGAATTGATGTATTCTAAGTGATTTAATTTTTTTTTTGATCCTTATCTTAATTTTTGTTGATGCCTCTGCCCCAGGAATTGCTGTATTTTGAGCGATTTAATTTTTTTTGACCCTTATTTTAATTTTTTTGATCTTTCCATTTAATTTTTTTGATCCTTATTTAATTTTTTTTTGATCCCTCACCCCTTTCAAGAAACAACAAACAAGAAACAAGGAACAATAAGCAGGAAACAACTAACAATTAACAAGAAACAACTAACAACTCGCAACTCACAAATAACAACCAACGACTGACAACTAACAGCTAGCACCAACAACTAACAACTAGCAACGAACAACTAACACCTAACAACTAGCAACTAAGTACTAACAACTAAACAACTAACACAACTAGCAACTAACACAACTAGCAACAAGCAACAAGCAACACACAACAAGCAACAACAACACCACCACCAACAACAACAGCAACAACAACAACAACAGCAACAGCCACAACCACAACCACCACGACAACAACACAACAACAACAACAAGAACACCAGCAACAGCAACAACAACAACAAGAACAACTACCACGACGGCAACGACGAGGACGATGACGACGACGATGACGAGGATGTCGACAACGACACCAAAAAACAACGACACAAGACAGAAGATTTGAAATTGTAATCCCGCAATATTCACACGCGAAACACGACCCTGCAAATTGTAGTGCTCCAATAGCTTCATGCAAGACACAAGCAAAACCAGACCCTGCGAATGCTAGTTCCCCATTAGCTTGATGGAAAACACAAACAATA